ACAAATTTTTTTTTTTTTTTCAAAATTGTCTTAGTCTCAGTTCAATATAAAGTAAATCTCATTTTATTTGTAAAATTGATAAATCTACATAAAACGTGGAATTTTATATCTACAAAATTTCTTTTCATAGTAACTAAAAAATAATAATATTTCTGAAACTTTTGTGCTCAAATTACTCAAAAGAATAATAATAATAATTTTGAAAATTTTTGTACTCAAATTGCTCAAAAGAATAATAATAATAATTTTAAAATCTTCTGTACTCAAATTTTACGGTAGTATCGTCATAATTTTCAGCACTATGTCAATATTTATTTTATATATACTAGGTAAATTTTCTTTCAAAAACTTTATAATCTATTTATTTAGGCTTATAATATTTTATCATGTCATATTCATAAAACATCTATCATACAAATGTAAACTTTAATATTTTTAGATATATTTTCTTTACAAAATAGTTTAGAGAAATTGTAGGTGACTTCACATCTTTTAATAATAATATTGAAAATTTTAGATAATTTTACATATGTTAATACAATATTTTAGGAGCTTTTAATTGTTTAAATATACAAATTTTATGTTCTCTTGAACAAGCTAATTTTATATAGTTTATAATAAACTGATATACTGTAAATTATATGACATGTTAACCCCACATCGTTAATTTATAATTATTATTTAATATCGCTTACCCTCATCTTTAATTTGTAATATATTTTCTTGCTCTTTTAAGAGAGGATCAATAGTGGGGATGTCAATAAAACCCATAGGGTCGGGTTACCCGCGGGTTACCCGCATTTTTGGGTCGGGTAAACTCGAGATGATTGGGTTTCGGGTCGGGTTAGGGTAGAATTATGCTACCCGAACTCCAGGTCGGGTCGGGTGTGGGTACGGTAGACAAACCCATTATCCGACCCGATTACCCTACCCGTTTACCCGAAACCATTAAATCATATATATATACATACATACATATACATATACATATATATATATATTTATAACTTATAATAAATATAAAAGTAGTCATGTGTTATTTTTAAAAATTAGCTTATCTATTATAATTTTGATTAATGGTTAAATTTATTTTATTTTTTATAATTTTATTATCATTTTTTGTTAATTGTATAATAAAAAATAAATATTTAATTTTAAATGTTATAATATTAAATAGACTATAAAAGATAAATAATCATATCTCATTATTTATTCCAAAAATAATATATTTTTCATTGTCAAACTTAGTTAATAAATTATTTCTTACATTATAATTAATTGTGAAATTATTTTATTTTATTTTTTCATATGAAATGAGATGGGTCGAGAAAAACCTAAATTTAAGACTCGGGTTACCCGTTTACCCGACGAAAATCCACTAACCCGCCGGGTAAAACCCAACCGAAACTCGAACATCACTAGCCGGGTAACGGCTAGGGTTTGGGTAAGGTAAATTATATGCGGGTCGGGTTCGGGTTTGCAAAAAACCATACCCAACCCGACCCATTTACATCCCTAATCAATAGTGGTTCCCCACTTCTTTCATTGAGTTACTCAAACTCGATTATTATTTATAATTATTATTTAATATTGTTTATCTGTGTATCGCACGGGATACGCACTAGTTGTTTTACTAAAATTTCTACAATATTGGTGAATCCATGCATATACTTAAAATATAAAATGTGAAAATCTCTTTCTTTTTTTTTCCAAAACGATAGATATAACTATTAAAAGCGAGCAAAGCTCGAAAAACTGTTCAAATACAACCATAACATGAGAGGAGCATCAAGAAGATGTCCTAGAGCCTCAACAAACTGAAGGCAAACCAAAGAGGAGAAAAGAAGAGATGACCACTGCCACAAAGCCTAGCCAACTACAAGAAAAAAATAAAACAGAAGCAAAAGCAATAAAAGAAAGCTATCTAACTAAAAAAGACTGTAGAATTAGCTTGAGAGAAGTCCATCCAATCCATGACTGCAGCTTTTACCACAATGTGTGGTGGGGGAACAGAGTTTTGAAAAATCCATTGGTTTGTGGTCTTCCAGAGCCACCATAGCAAGTAAGTTGACAGCTGAATTCTGTGATCATCCACCTCAGAATGCTTGATTGAGCATATGTGCAGCCACCATGATCTGAAGCAGTTAGTGCAAGTGGATAGACCTTGCCAGGTGACAGGAGCCAGTTGCCAAACTCTTTGAGCCCTAGAACAGTTCAGAAGGATATGTTCAAGTGTTTCAGAACCTTCCCCACAGGATTTGCATATCACATCTATCTCCATGCCTCTTTTCTTGAGATTGGTAAGCACAGGCAAAAAACCTGATAGACATTTCCCCAAAAAAGTTTTAATCTTCCCAGGCACCTTCATAGACCAGCTTCTCAGCAGAGTTTTATGCCAAGGGTTTGAGTGATCACTGCACTCAGGGAGGTCAAGCTGAATCACCTTCTGCTGTACTAGATAAGCATAAGTGGAGGCTACAGAAAATTGCCCTTTCTTGTCCAAGCCCCAGAAAATTCTGTCATTCCTCCTTGGGTTCAGAGAAGTGATGTTCAAGATTGCAGCACTACCTTCATTGCTGAAAACCTGTTTCACAAGCCATTCATCCCAGCCTAATCCAGAGGGCAGCATAAGGTCTTTGACAAAAATCAGATGATCTCTAGCAATCTCCAGTAAGTCAGGTGTAGCTTTAGGAAAATTTGGAATCCAATTCAAGTCATCAATTCTGGTGGTTGCACCATTTCTTATCTCCACTTTCAGCCATTTAGAAAAAATAGGGAGGAGATCTAACCAACAGTTCCAAATCCAGGATCCCTTCTGAGATTTAGTGGCATGGAAAATGGAAGTTTTAGGAAAATACCTCTCTTTAAGAACTTTGCTCACCAATAAGTCAGGCTGGGAAGTGATTTTCCAGAGTTGCTTGCAAATCAAGGCTGCATTGAATAGCTTGATGTCCAGAAAGCCAAGGCCACCATTCTGTTTAGGAGT